CCTAGAATTGGAATTCCTGGGACAAACCACATGAATTTTTAAATTATAACACATGGCACTGAAGTGTCCTTGACAAAAGATATGAGAAATATATGTGTCTTTTCCCCCATAGTCACAACAATATAAAGTCATCATTGTGGTTTTTTTAATCACTCACAGATGATGATATGTTTATTTTTTTCTTTATAAAAATTAAAATATGATTTTATTTTTTTTCTTTTATTGAGTTTATTGGTACATTTTGGGTATACAGGACAATTACATTCATCATTGGGACCTTGTACCTTTACATGTCAGGTCCTGGCTCTCATTTTTTGCCCCTTGTCCGTGCCCTCCCTTCACCCCCTCCTCCCCTCCCCATTTACAAACACTTTATTTCCATTTTTTCATTTTCTCATATTTTTTTCTTTTCCCTTATTACCATTCCCCTACCCTTCCCATCTTCCCTACACCTTTAGCCCCTTTCTTCCTATTTCACATGGTCAATTATATCATTGGGATCTTATGTACTATTATAGTTTTTCACACCAGAGAAACTATTCAGTATTTACACATGTGTGACTTATTTATTTCACTTAGGAGGATATCCTCAATATGTATCCATTTTCCTATGAATGAATCTAATTTCTCATTCTTTATGGCTGAGTAGTACTCCATAAGAATCAACAGGTGGAATCTCATCTTATTAAAATATGATTTTAAAACCATATTATCTAGCCTTTTAAAGTATACAATTCTGCTGGGGATGTAGCTCAGCAGCACAGTGCCTGCCTGTTAAGCATGCAGTCCTGAGTTTGATCCCTGGTACCAATAAATAAATAAATAAAGTATACAACCTAGTGCTTTTTGGCTTATTCACCTATTTGTGCAGTCATCTACTTCCAGAATGTTTTCATCATCCCAGAAGGAATCCTATGTCCATTTTCCTTTTCTCCCAAGCCCTGGAAACCACTAATCTGTGTAGATTTGCCTTCCTGAAGATTTCATAAATACACTTTATAAGTGTAATCATACAGGGGCAGGGTATTTAGCTGAGTGGTTGCACTGCTTGATCCGCAAGTGCAAGGTCTGGAGTTCAATCCCTGGTACCAAAAACAAACAAGAAAAATAAATGTAATTATACAGTATGTGTCCATGGTATCTATCTTGATTCACTTAGAATAGTGTTTTAAGCTTAACCTGTGTTGTAGAATTCCATACAATATATTTTTGAGTATCCTTCACTTATCCATTCATCAGTTAATAGATATTGGGTTGTACCTATTTTCTGGATATTGTGAATATACTGTTATGAAGATCTGTGTACAAGTTTTCCTGCGAACAGCACTTTCTGTTCCCTAAAGTATACAGCTAGGAGAGGAATGCTGCATCTTACGGTGATTCAGTTTGACTTTTTGAGGAATTGCCAAACTGTGTTTCACAGAGACTTCCATTTTACATTCCCACCAGCAATGAGTTTTTCTCTTCATATAGATCCAGATTCCCATTTGGCATCGTTCACTTTCCGTTTTGAAGAATGTCCTTTTAAATTTCTTACAGTTCAGGTCTGCTGAAAACAGAGACTGTAGCTTTTTCTTTCCTTTTTTGTCTTATAAAAGTTTTTATTTTATCCTCATTTGAAAGAAATTTTGCTGGTGCATAGCATTCTAAGGTGACAGTTTTTCTTTCAGTACTTTAGAGAACTTGCACCATTATCTCTTGATTTGCGCAGTGCTTGGTAAGTTTTGCTCATCTTTCTAATGATATAATTCTACCTTTGTTCATTTGTACGGAGTGCTTCTTTTTTTCTGTAGTTGTCTTCAAGATTTTCTCCTGGTTGGATTAGAATGTCCATCGGTGTCCTCCTTTTTGTATATCCTGCTTGGGCTCCTCTCATATTTACTTTGGTGATTTGTTGTCTTGCATTAATTTTGGAAAATTCTTAGCAATTACATTTTCAAACACTTCTGACATTTCTTTCTGTTCTCCTTTTGAGAAATGAGTTATGCATCTAATTATATCATTTCATATTGTTCCACTTACCTCCATTTTTCTAGTTTTTCTCTTTTTCATTTTTCTCCTCTGCCCTGCTTGTCGGCCTTTGAAATGCAAAATTTTATTTTGAAAAATATCCATGGTTCTATAGCCAAGTTCACCAGTGCTGTCTTTTGCGTCTGGTCTGATAAGGTGGGTCAAGGAATTCTTCATCCATGATAATGTGTTTTTCACTTCTCTTTTTTATAGTTTCTGTTTCTCTGCTGAAATTCTGTTTGTGCATGTTGTCTACATTTTTCCACTCTATAATCAGTACATAAAGTTATTTTCTCATTGTTTTAACTTTTGGGCTGTTAGTCCCATTCTGTTTATGGCTTTATCTCTTGAAAAAAACATTTTGGACACGTTTGACCAGATCCCAAATACTACATGTACAAGAATAAAAACAGATTTAAATAGCATTTGCTTTTTTAAAAAAAGATTTGATTTGATTTCACCCTATTCCTCCCCTTCTCCAGCCCCCTCCCTGCCCTGTGTACAGAAGCTTTGTTTCCATTTTTAGCATTTGCTTTTGAAAATGTGCATTCTGCTTTATCTGCCAGGTAGTTCCCATTTGAGCTAGGTTTGGGTTTTGTTGTTACTGTAGTTCTCATTATTACCCTACAGGCTCAGATTCCTACAGACTGCTGCTTTCTTGTGTTTAGTGTGGGCCCTGGGGTGCAAAAGGCTTCTCTCGGTGTTCTTGCTCCATCTCCAACTTTCAGCGAGTCCTGTGCAGCTGCCCACAGTGATGGCAGGGTGTTTCTCCAGCCAGAAGTAGGGTGCTGCTGCTTGCCGCTCTCACTCCAGCCTCACTCTCCTGAAGGCCCTGGAGGCCTGAGCCTCCACTCTGGGTGGCATTAGGTACTCCACAAATCGTCAGTGTGAGTCTTTGTGCCCAGGAAAGGGGTGCTAGCTGGTGGAGTGTCCCAAGGTAGATGTCAGCCAAATTTGTTCATCCCAAACCTCAAAATATGTATCCACAAGTCTGTGGTTATCATCTTCTATTATAGAAGTGTTAGCAGCCCCAGATAGATCAGGCCTTATATATTGCCATGTCTGAACATTACCTTCAGCTGAGAAAAACTTTTCCTGTGGCCCTTTGGGTGAAAAATTTCATTTATAGGCCCACTGAGAGATATTAGATCCAGTAGCATGCCTCAAAACTGAGATATATTTTGTTGTTCTGTAACATTTTGAAGCTTTATCAAGGCATTTTCTTATGGAAGGGATATTCTCCATGGCAACCCAGATATGCTGGAAGTGGACAACATTGTACAAATCCAGCATGTATCTTTATTAATGTATTAGCATATGGTTGGGCCCAGTCCAAAAAAAAAGTGTTTCTCTGTTGGAGAATGTGTAAGAGTTAAGAGACAAATAAATTGATGGATTTTGATTTGAGCACACATAGTATAGTTATGAGAGGAGCCACATTTAAGGTGAGAAGTGATGATTTAATGGTAAACAGGAAGCAGAATAAACTTATCTAATGTATCCTGAATTAGACTTCTTGGGTTTTTTGTTTGTTGGTTTGAATAGTATTTGTGAGTCCTACAAAGGATTAGAACAATATTAATCATAGGTCTCTGTCTTCTTAATTTCTAGATTCTGTAAAGTCTCAAGAGGAACAGGTTTAATTCTTGGTAAGTGACTCCCAGCCATAAGGGTGCTTAGAACTTGGTAGAGGCCCTCTCCCTTAGAAAAGAGCTAATCTGAAGGTGACTTATTTTTCCCCAAACTTTAACCCATAATTCACCAGGTTGAAATTTAGGGATGTGACTTGAAGAATCTGGTGCTGGAAGAGCTTTATTACCATATTCTCATGAAATCTTTTGTACTGACCTAGGTTAATTATGTATTTAATCATTTCCTGTGTTTTAGGATCAGTTACTAGATCTGAGGTCAGAAATGGCCTCCTATGTCGCATTTCATATAGGCTTCGTTGAAGAGAAGCTTTAGGGGACATTCTGATTCGTAGTAAAGTAGTAGATAGTAGCTGTAGCCAAGACGCTGAGATTTCTAGGCATAATTTTCCCATTGTGTTTTGAATATGTAAATTAACCCATCTAAACTTTCTTGATGCTCCAAGGTGCCAGGAGGTATGAAGATAACAAGTTATTCTCACGGCTTGTGAGACTTCCTGTGTCACCTTGGAGACAAAAGGTAGCCAATTCCTCTGAAGTGATCTGGAAATTCCAACCTAGGAATACTTTCTTATAACCGGGCTTTAGTGACTTCTTGGGCCTTTCCAGTGTGGGTGAGATATGTTTCTAGCCATGCAGAGAAGGTGCCAGCAAAAACAAAGAGGTATTTATATTCCTGGCTCTTAAGCATCTGAGTGAAATCTAGCTGCCAGTCTTCTCCAGGGAAGGTCTCTGGCCTTTGTGCTGGGGCCTAAGTAAAGGTGGAGGCTTAGCTTTTCTTCCTGGATTCTTGTGGAGTCAGAAGGGACAAGCTTTTGTGATTTCTCTAATAGTAGATTCGAGCCTCCCCACCCCAAAGTGCGGTTAACCAAAGTAGTCAGTGCCTCTTTCCTAAATGGCAGGAGTGATGGATTTCTTTAATGATTTTCCATTGATTGGCCTGGAATAATAAAACTTTATAATTTTTATCTTTAATCCACTAGCTGTCTTTTGCTGGTTTCTAACCCTGCCCTCTTTTCCATTTCTTTTTCTTGAGATCAGAGCCATCTCTGAGATGTTTGGCACTGTGCTCTGGCAAGGCATTTCCCGGGATATGGAAGCTGTCTCTGAACCCCTGAGGCAGTTTAAGTGATACATTTCCATAGTATCAACAGCAGGGCATTCAAAGTCAAACAAATATTATGTCGGGATGGAATAAAATCCAGAAGTAATTGCACTTGGCATTCTGGGTTAAAATAGTATATTAGGAAGTATAGGTTGTAGTGGAATTACAACTTAATTAGTAGCCCATTAATCTTGGACTGGCCAAATATTATGTGAATACAATCCAGAAGTAATTGCACTTGGCATTCTGGGTTAAAATAGTATATTAGTTAGGAAGTATAGGTTGCAGTGGCATTACAACTTAATTAGTAGCCCATTAATCTTGGACTGGCCACTGGCCAATAAAAAAGGATTAATGGTAATGTTGTTTATGGCAGTATATATTGGATCTTTTAAAAAAATGATAAGAGGCTGGGCCTGATATGCCTCTTTTGAGGTTTTAGTAGGCCAGACTGTGGATCTACCTTTGATAAAATTTCCCTGCAAATATATCTATGTTATGTATTGGGTTTGATATTAATGCTCC